TTTTTAAAGGGGTCAAATTTTTAGACAACTTTAGCTTTTATAGGATGTAGCAATTGATAATTGTTATACAATTAACACATTAACTGTAAAGGATGTTCAACTAGTATGGTCGTATAATCGTATTATTGTAGGAAAAAGAAAGGGGTTAGTGGAAATCACATTCTAATAAATTACATAAACAATAGGTTTTGTGAACTTACTGCAAACAGGACTGCATGTGACGCAGTCAACTTCACATTGCTCAGGGCAAGCACTAGGACATGTATGCTCTAGGCCATAACAATGAGGGTAGTTCTTGTTCTTGCATTTTCTCTTTTCTCCAGAGCTCTCTGAAGAAGGGGGAGGTGGAGGATATGAGGAAGGTGGTGTAGAAGTAGTGGGTGGTGGAGGTGATGGCGTGGAAGCAGGAGGTGGTGGAGATGAAGGAGTAGAAGTAGTGGGTGGAGGTGGAGTGGTAGTGGAAGGAGGGGGAGTAGGAACAACTGAAGGTGGAGGTGGTGGTGCGGGGTATGCCTTTGGAGGCGGAGGGGGTGAACGATGATAATACTTTGGAGGTGGAGGAGGGTGCCTATGTCTTGGTGGCGGCGGCGGCGGAGGTGGTGGTGGTGGCGGCGGCGCTTTACAAACAGGTTTGCATTTCTTACAATCCACAACACAAGTGCGGGGGCATGATGCAGGGCAATAAAGGTCTTTGTGGTAACACTTGTAGAACTTTTTGTCTTTGCACTTGACTTTCTTAGGCTTTGGATGAGAAGTTGCTGCCTCTGCCACAACAAGCATCAAGAGGATGACCAAAAACACACCTAAGCGCACCATTGCTTTAGCCATTTGGTGCTGATTGTATGTGTGTGTTTGAGCTTTGTGATTATGACTGCTATTGATGCTGGCCTCCCCTTTTATAAGGTCTTGAAAATATCAGACTTTGCATCTTGCTCACACTAAACGTAAAGGTGTTCTTTACTTTCCACTCCACTTGTTCTCTCACACATGGGCACTCAAAAAGTCAGATTTTAGCTAGCCCTAAAATTAATCTAAATACTGGTCGGTATACCTTGGCACTTGTCCTCCTAAAACTTAATATATCAATGCATCTGCCATTTTGATAACCCTATAGTTAGCAAATTCATGTATGTATTAT